ATGGCAACGACTATCAGGCAGTCTCTGCCCTGTATATCAGGGTAGCACAAATAATTCAGCATAAAGCAGCTCGGTTCCTGTAGCTTGGCATTAGGATAAGTATATCTTAAGAAAGTTCTTATGCAGACTTGGCTCCAGGCAATAAAACGTCATAGATGTATAACTGTAGCAAGCGAAATTTCTAGGGAGCAAATTAGGCTGAAAACATCTTCTAGAGACAGCTAGAAAGGAAAAGTACACCACCCCCAAATAAGGCAAGTAATGCAGTAAATGTTTCATTTATTGGCCTTCTTCCATTACTATTAGGGTTAAAAGACATCTTGTCAATAAGAAAGGTATATTTATGGAGGACTGATGCCTTCCAAAAGGCTTCTCCTGTCACAAATGCCTATAGCGGTAGTGATCAGCTTATGAAGGCAGGTGATGAAACCCTGTACAAATGCATACATCTTCCCATTAACCCTTGGATCATCAGGCATTATTGTCACTTTATTACCTGGACCTGTCATTAGCTGAAGCAAGGTGATCAAGCCAAATGCTTCAGAATAGTGCCCAAAACAGAACAGTATTCCTCAGGGTTTCAAAAAGAGGGTGTGTGCCTCTCTGAGTCCCTTGATAGAATCATTGTTGGGGGGAGGGGTTGAATAAAAGGTTGCCTGTGAAGTGGGCCCTTTTTAAAAAATATTTTTAATTAATTAATTAATTAATTTATGGCTGTGCTGGGTCTTTGCCGCTGCACAGGCTTTCATCCAGTTGCGATGAGTGGGGATTGCTCTCTAGTTGTGATGCTCTAGCTTCTTACTGCGGTGTCTTCTCTTGTTGCCTAGCACATGCTCTAGGATGCATGAGTTTCAGTAGTTGTGGTTCCTGGGAGTCCTAGAGCACAGGCTTAATAATTGTGGTGCCTGGGCTTAGCTGCTCTGTGGCATGTGGGGTCTTCCCGGACCAGGGATCGAACTCATATCTCCTGCACTGGCAGGCGGGCTCCTCACCACTGAACCACCAGGGAAGCCTGAAGTGGACCCTGTTTGCCTACCTCTTCCTCTCACTAAAACTGAAAACTCTCAGGTGTCCAATTTTTAGTGTTCCTAGGTTGGCTAAAGGAGTAGCTTTCCTCAAGATCCAAATAAGGAACCATTACCCACACAGAACAAAAAGCAAACAGAAAATATCACAGTGGAATCAGGACTTTGGCTTCTAAACATTTCCCCATTTTATAGCTTCCTTATGTTTTCAGATTCTTTTTTTGGCTTCCCTCAGTCAAAACACTCCCTACAAAGATAAGTCCAACACAGTGGGTAACAGATCATCCATCTTAGAACCTTGATATTTAAAGAAAAATCACACAGCACTCACACACACGCACATGTATGCAACACCATCAAAGTTTAATTACTAGAATCTTGCCAATTGACTGGGGAAGCTGAGTATGGTTGGTGACATGTATTCTCTACTTCTGGTGGAATCTAAGCAGACTATCCTTGTTTTTCCTAAATTCTAAAGCCAGACTTCCAATATAGATTGTTCTTTTTGTTGGTATGCCGGCGAGCCTCTCAGCATAATGGGGGTATAGGCTGAAAGTATGAAATCGTAGACTTTCTGAATGTTAGAACGGACCTAAGAAAATATCCAGTCCAACCACTTCACTGGTCAGGTGAGACAGGACAAAGGGGCCATAGGTAACAAGGCCAATGGCCAGCCTGCTTCCGCCATTTCCCTTCAAGCACAGTCCCATATTTCAGAGGACACTTACCACTCTGCCCTAACAACCCCCGGTAGAGAACTGATGCCTGAAAAGTGATATATATATATAAACTGAAACTTCCTTTCACATTCTCCGATAGGGATGAACAAGGAAGAACCCATGGGAGAGGTAAACCATTTAATTTCTGAGGTTAAAATGCAGATTACTAATAGCAACACAGGTCCACAGAGATTTAACAGAGGGCTGGTTGAAGGGGAGAAGAAAAGAGAAGTGAAGAAGCCAAAAGACACTGGATGGGGAGGAGGAGGAAGAAACGAGGGCAGAGGGGCCGTCTACTTACAGCTCAGGACTTGGGCTGGCCCTGGGAAAGGGCTCTGAGGGAAGAAGTCCCAGCTTCTTACATGCAAAACTCCTTGGCTCAGGCTAAAGTCAGAACTGCTCTGGCTTCCTCCCCATGTTTAGAACCCCTGCTATTTGGGCAGAACTCTTGGTCCTTTAAACTAAGAGTCAGTCATCAGTATCTAGAGAGAGAAGTAGCCTCAACACCCGGATACAGACAGCGGTTGTTTAAAATTTCACAGCGAATCTACAAACGACACATCTACATTGTAGGCCAACCGGACCTTTCTTTTAAATACTATATTACCTTGCTTTTTGCCGATTTTAATTTCACACCCTCCCCCATTTCTCCCCTATTCCCCCAGACTACCTAAAACCCTTTCGGAGACTCAGGGGTAATTGATGCTCTGAGATCTTCCTGGTCTCAAGACTTTCTATGGCACAAAGCAACACGATTAAATGTGGTGAATGATGGAATAACTCTAAATTTATTAATTGAATCAGAGATGTTAAGAGATTCCTTTCAATGAGAAACATAAGGATATGCCAAAATGGATGAGGTTACTAATCATCCAAAGTCCTTAGTATTAACATATGATAAAAATGCAGGCCAGGACATTAAAAACAGTAAGTACATTCATTAAAATTTCAATTCGGTATATTTATGACCTTTTATTATCCAGGTAAGTCCTATAAAGGACATAGAAGACCTCAGTATCCAACTTAATTCAGATCAGGGTTGGAGTAAAATAAAAGAACCATTGCACAGGAGAAATTGCCATAAAATTGAGTTACTGTAAATGTGTTCTCATTTAAGTAAATAAGGCCTTAAAACAGGCCTTAGGAAAGTCTACACTGTACACAGACTCAGGCACACCAAGTATACAGGTGACAATTAGCAAGTGTGAAAAGCTATGGCCATTTGATAAATGTGTAAATCTAAAGGCAACCAAGTGAAAAGACCTAAAAAAAAGGAAACTGTTAAATCCATTTGTACATGGATTTAACAGTGAAGCATTTCATTCTTCGTGTTTTTACTCGGTGTCTTAAAATAATCCCCTTTCTGTCTCCACTCACCCTCTTAGAAACTGTGCCCGCCTTATTTATTTATGAAGTCTGAAGGTTAGTCCTACCTGCTGAGACTAATTAGCCCTGTGCTTTGTATCCTATGCAATCCTGTCTGATTAAATGTACACATTTGTTTTACTTCTTTTCAGGCTCCTTCTCACTCTACTTGTGATTTTCTGTTTAATATTAAAGTTGGGAGTTACTGTGATTCTCCTCCATAGCCTCCCCCCGCCCCGCCACATTTTTATTTTGCCCACATCTTGCTCTTTAGTGTGCAAATGTGGTTATGAATTTTTTCCAGTGCAGGGGAATTCATTGGCCTTGTCAATCTTGGTATCATTATTTTTAGTAGTCTTCTTTCTGAGACCTTAGCCTATAAAACAGTTTTGCTGAAAAGAGAAACTCTCTAAATATTACATGGTAAATTGGCTTTCTTTTGGAAAGCTTAGGTGCTGATGGGCCAGCTGAAAAGCAGGTGAGATGTGTTTTTAGGGGATGGGTGAAATAGTTTAGTACATCTCGGACTCTAGACCAACTCTGTTCCTAAAAGAAAATTTGCTAATTCCCTACTAATTTTTTTTTTTCCTGGTTCTCTTTGTCCCCTTTCCTGTTGCAGATTCCAGTTCACTTCTCACTGGATATTTGCAAGAAAATGAGTGTTGTTGCTCCATTTTCTAGAACACTGTGTTTTGGGACCCAGGCCTTTTCTCCTTTAACATAATTTTCTTCCCCATTTTGTAGCAAATCAATCTGCTCCCCAGGAGAGAGCCTAAAAATCAACAAATACCTGCCTCAAACCTCAGGTTTTCCATCTCCTCCCTGAGGCCTTCTAGCATCAGCTGGGTTAGCAATTTCCTGCCAGAACCATCTACATCTTGATTATTTGGTCAGTCTTTGGGGGATTTCATTTCAGATCTCCTTCCAGAAAGACTCCAGTACCACTGATCCCTGGGGTTGGTGAACTTTCAGTTTTATTTTCCCTGGCGGCGTTAACGCCCAAACTTTTCACCTCAAGTCAGAAAGGACTTTGAATCCTAGCTGATATCCTACCACCTCCAAGGTCAGTTAAAAAAAAAAAAAGAACAACATTCTACTTTGAAAAGAATCAAGAATCATGTATTTTTCCTTAAGGATATTTTTAATGCCCCTGACAAACACTACAGTATTTGGTTGTTTTTTGGGTAAAAAGTCATCTTGGCGTATTTATTCTAGTAGAGACTTACGATTTAACGAAATGATTCACTATTAATAAACAAAAAAGGGGAGGGAAGACCTCGTGGGTTAATAGTTTCTTTCACTGCAGATGACCAGGAACTTTGCCCAGCCCTCCACTTCCCCAAGCTCTCAGAGAGTGGAGGGTTGATCTCTCTTTTTGACCACTTCTGTTACATCCCGCCCAAGGGTGGCTGATTTCATTGCTGGCTTAACCACTAAACCCCTACCTCCCACCCTTTCCCCAATACTCTCCTCCTTTTCTCCTTCCTTAAGACTTATTTCTACTATTTCTAAAGTGCACTTTTTCTGGGCCTCTCCCCATCCCCGCCCCCCAAGTGGGCTTTCCTTCCGCCTTCCTCGACTCGGATTCCCGACGCGATCGCCACCCACCCCCCGTCCCCTCCTCTCCTACTCCGCATTGTCTTTTCCGAAGCCGCCCCCCACCCGGAGCGAGTCCCGGTTCCCTCGCCCAGACTCCGGGGCTCTCGCACACACTCAGCGCAGGCCTCTCCCCTTGCACACTCCTCCCTCCGTCTCTCCCCCACTCTTCCCCCGCCCCTCTCCTCCTCCTCCTTCCCTCCCTCCCTCCTCCCTTTCCCGGCGCCCGAAAGGATCATTGTTAGCCGCCCCCGCCCCGCCCACCCCGGCTGTTTATTTATGCAGACGTCACCGGGCCGGGCCCGCCCCCCGGCATCTCATTAAGCGAGTGTGTTCCTCTCGCCCTGTCAATAATCTCCGCTCCCAGACTACTCCGTTCCTCCGGATTTCGATCCCCCTTTTTCTATCTGTCAATCAGCGCCGCCTTTGAACTGAAAAGCTCTCAGTCTAACTTCAACTCACTCAAATCCGAGCGGCACGAGCTCCTCCTGTATCTTCGGCTTCCCCCCCCTTTGCTCTTTATATCTGACTTCTTGTTGTTGTTGGTGTGTTTTTTTTTACCCCCCCTTTTTTTTATTTATTATTTTTTTGCACATTGATCGGATCCTTGGGAACGAGAGAAAAAAGAAACCCAAACTCACGCGTGCAGAAGATCTCCCCCCCCCTTCCCCTCCCCTCCTCCCTCTTTCCCCTCCCCAGGAGAAAAAGACCCCAAAGCCGAAAAAAAGTTCACCTTGGACTCGTCTTTTTCTTGCAATTTTTTTTGGGGGGGCAAAACTTTTTTGGGTTTTTTTTTTTTTTTTGGCTTTTCTTCCTACTTCATTTTTCTTCCAAAATTGCTGCTGGTGGGTGAAAAAAAATGCCGCAGCTGAACGGCGGTGGAGGAGATGACCTAGGCGCCAACGACGAACTGATTTCCTTCAAAGACGAGGGCGAGCAGGAGGAGAAGAGCTCCGAAAACTCCTCGGCGGAGAGGGATTTAGCTGATGTCAAATCGTCTCTAGTCAATGAATCAGAAACGAATCAAAACAGCTCCTCCGATTCCGAGGTAGGAAAAGCCCCTCGGGCTGGTGGGGTTCTTAATCTATTTCCTGGGCTTGGCAAATGTTGCTGAGAGGGGAGAAATCGGGGCTGGGGGCGGCGGCGGGGCGCCGCGGGGCCAGGCGGGCGGCGTGTGCTTGTGGGGCCACCATTGCAAAAACTTGTAACCCTGTTTTTTTCTCTTTCCCCCTCACCCCAAACCCCCCACCTCGCTGATCCTTTTTCTCCCCCCCACCTCTGCGTGGCGTTTGCCCCTCGCCCTCCCCACCTCCACCCCTCCGGGAAGGCGGAAAGACGGCCTCCGCCTCGCTCCGAAAGTTTCCGAGATAAATCCCGGGAAAGTTTGGAAGAAGGTGAGTACGCCCCGCGCTGCCCCGCAGCCGCCCGGAGCTAGGGGGGGGGGGAATCAGAAGAACTTTTTCCTTTTTTTTTCCTCCTGCGCTCTGATTGCCCCCGCCCCCTTTGGTGGTGGTGTTTGTTTCTTCACCCTGGGAAGATGACTGTGTGGCTCTTTCTTTTCTCCCTCTCCCTCTCTTCCTTCCCTCTTCTGTGGCGTCTTGGGCTTCCCCCGGTTAACCCCTTGGCTGCCGCGGCCGGGGACGGAGTGACTGGGCTGCTCCCGACGCGCGGTGGTAGAGAGCGGATTGTCCCTCCGGGCGTTTGGACTTGAAAACTAGCGGGCGCGCGGAGCCCTGGGCCTTGGAGAAGCGCCTCGGCTTTCTCTCTCGGCCGCTGATTTGTTTAGCTTTCTAGTGGAGATGGCTGGCTCTCAGCCCTCCTCCCCCTTTCCCCTTGGAAGGTCACGCTTCCTAGACGGGTTCCACTGGAAACTTTGGGGGGGCTCCGGGCTTCCTTTTCTGGGGGCCACCCCGCAGGGCCGCGAGCGCCCTGGGCGCCGTGGCTTGGCTCGGCGGCGTGGCGCGCTGGCTGCCGGCTCTCCTGGGCCGCGCGGGGTGGAGAGGCCCCTGTGGCTGCGGTTCTTGGGTTGTGTGCAGCCGGGATGGCCTCCTCCGGGCGGACTTGATGTGTTTCTAGGGAATTTGGTGCTTTGGGGTTATATAGCGGGGTCTGCGCTCGCCAGCTTTAGCGAAGGCCTTCAGCGGGCCCAAGGGGGGCAGAGACCAGGGTGTGCGGGGGCCCAAGGGTGTAGAGAGGCTGAGAGAGGCCCAGGGCGCCTGTCCTTCTAGGGAGTGGGCTGCTAATCGCAGGCCACCCAACTTTGAGGGCCCCAGGGCGGAGCGGGGTGCCAGGCTCTGGGGGGCGCTTTCCGCAGCGTGCGCCCGGAGCCCACCCCTGACATTTGTTAATAGGGCTCACCCCCTTCCCCGACCGACCTCTGCACCCTGCCCTCGCCCTGAACCCCTTCCCCCCATCCCACCCTCCTCTTAAAAGCGAGGATCCCGAATCTCTGGACGCGATCTCTAAACGTTTGTGCCCGGCTTCTCGATTGTTATTTTGCACCTTCTCTGGCTCAGTCCCCCTACCTCTTATTTACACACACACACTACTTTTGTCTTTTTCTTTTTCGGTAACTCGAGCTAGCAATTTGAAATAGGGCACTGACTGTTCAGCAGCCGTGGATTCGGTGCTAATGGCCGAGGGCTTGCCGGACGGGAGTCGATCCGATCTACAAGTGTTTTTAAGCATTAAAATATTAACTATCAGGTTTGACTTGTTTTTTGGGGCCCCGGCAAAAAAAAAAGGCCAAGGGCATGGTAGATCGGTCATTTTTTTTACGGCAAGGAAAAAGAAATAATTATAGCCCCCCGCCCTCCCTTGCGCCCAGGCTTTTGCAGGCTTGAAAAGCTGGGAGACCGTTTCAGCCCGACCTCCTCTTACATGGCCAGCGCTATCTGGAGGCAGGGGCCGGTCTGTGGGGTTGCGGCTGGAGGCGAAGCACAGTCCGGCTACGTTGTATTTTTCCTGGGAGCTCGTGGGCATCTTGAACCGGAGAGTTTGTGTAGTGACCAAGCTGACCAAGCGACATTCCAAAGTAACCCTGAGAATTTCTTCCTCTCCTCCCCTCCCCCTGCGATGGAAGTCTCTCTGATATTATTTTAAAATCCACTTTGCCATCTGAAAGGCCATCTGAATACTGAGCTTTGATGACGGGCTTGCTGGCCCTTCTGGGCTCCCTTGCAAACTTCTGTCTGTGACCCTTGGCAGGCTTGCCCCACTGTCTCCCGAAACTCCAACAGTTGTGTTGTGCTGTAATTAGGAAACAGGGAAATTGTTAAAGGCAAATAAATGATTTCCCGGTGCGAAAAGGAAAGCTCCCAACCACCCCGTCCCCTTTGTGGGCATTGTAGGAATACTCGGCGTCTTGTGATTTTAATTGCGGACATAGCGGGTGGCCTGGTGCTGTGACATCAGATTGAGAAGACATTTCTGAACTCAGGAGGCAGTTTTAATATTTGCGTGTCAAACATCCAACAGACATCTTTTGTGCGCACAGGCTATTCCTCCCTCCTATCTGTTACCTGAGTTAGCTGATGTGCTCCAAAATTAAAGTTATTTATTTAAGCCGGTAAGCAGAGACATGGAAATGAGGCTGAGAGGCTGTTATGTGTCACTCCTGACCTCTTCAATCAGAAGGCCGGCTTGCAATTCCAGATTTGATACAGCTGCCGAAGGAATCTATAGGCAAGATAGCGGTCTTTTCATGCTCATCTGAAATTCTTAGTGCTTCATAGAGTGTGTTTTTTGAGGGCAAGGTGTAAAGACAAATTGGCTCTGTTCCTTACCCGACCCTCCTTGGTGGTGTGTTTTTTTTTTTTTTTGGCTTATTTTGTGTTACTTATGAGTGTACCTGTAAGCAGTTGCATCCTTTCAGAAGCAAGCTCTTTGGATTCCTGGTTTCTACTTTTCTATTTAATAACGTAAAGAATTAAGGAGTATCATTAAATGGGCTTATGATGAATAATACATTATCTCAGGAATAATGCTTTAATTGCTGGAGACGCCATAAAGCTTGATAGTAATAATTTTATTTTAAAATGACAAAGATTTCTACATCACGTTAATTTAGCCTTTGATACAGTAATAGGAACGGCTTTTAAAAAGATTCAAATACAAAAAAGCATTAAGGCGAGAGGTCTGGTTAAGCATATGGGAGGTGATAGAACTGCAAATATTAGAATTGTGGTAACATTTGTAGATACTAAAGATAAAAATACTGTTTCCGTATTAAAGTTGATAGGAAAAACTAGTTTTACATTTCTTTTTCCCTCCTGCCAAATGAGAATATGGGATTTGGTGGCCGAAATTCCAGTTAGGTTTGAAATTCTTAATTAAGGACTTGGCTATTAGAGCTTTTGCATCTTCTTTGATCCAAAGTTATTTGCTTTTCAGCTGAAACTGTTTGCTACTAGGTTGAACAAATAAATAAGCAGCATCTTGAATTCATTTTTGAACTTGGAATCCAGCATTTAAAGGAAACCAAGAGGGGCCTATTCATTGGGGTTTTATTTAGCTGGGCAGCAACTTCTCTTTCTGCCTGGTGAAAAATGGATGTTTTCTCCTCGCTCAAACAACATAATCCTTTCTAATACAAAAGATTTAGACCTTGGCGTGTGAAGGGTTAATGGTGGTCCTTCCCCGTTGTCCTCCCACCCCCCACCTTCACCCCTGATTGTTTTGACAACACTTTTCAAAGTGTGACATTCCAAGCCCCTCCATAACAATGTAATATTACTGTAATTACACAGGTCATTACATTTTAAATAGAGAACAATAAAATGCTTATCGCCCTGAAAAAGAACAGGTGTTCTTGCCCTTCTTTGGTATTTATGCTAATTGTTTTTCATCTCCTTGAGAAATATTTATGGCAAACATGTTTAGATTTCAATCTCAAGGCAGCAGTATTAATTCCGTGCTAATCTTTTCTAAGGTTGGGGTTTAATGTCTGCAGTTTGGATTATGGGCTCAACATTCACCCAATAAGTCATATTTTAATGATTATAAATTTAATATGCCAGCGCTTCCATAGTTTGTTGAAATGAAAGCCTTCTGAAAACCCCAGAAACAAAACTATGAGGCAGTCGGGAGCCTAGAGTGTTTATCTGGAAGAAGTGTTTTTGGAAACTTGACTGCTGAAGGAAAGTAGCTTTCATTGATGCACTCCTATGTGATTGAGAAAAGATTTGGAGAAAAACAATCCCCCGTTCTGGCTGGGAGTTTTCCACCTTGATTTTAATTTTACTGATATGGATTTCATTTAGAGTCCCTGCTGGAAACTGGTCAGCTTTCTGTTTCTTAGCAAGCTGTGAAAAAGTTACAGGAAGGTTTCCGGGGGCTGGCAGATCAAGAATGCTGTTCTGTTAGCAGTTCAGGATAACTGCAGTTCTGCACGCCATTAAAAAAATATTTGCTTTAGAAAACCAGCATTTTAATAGTTGCACCGGAGGCTGTGCTTTTAAAGATTACAGTAGAAGCCTTTCCAGGTTTTGAATGTCTCCTCACATGCCACGAGGTGCCTGCGTGCATACGAAAAGCACCCAGACTTCTTGGTGGAGAAATGTTGGTGCAGCTTCTCTGACACAGGCTCAGTGGGTAAACTGGAAGGTATCTAAGAGGATTTTACATTTTGTCAGATGTTTCACAACAGGGGCCCCCGAATCACATTAAAAATGCACTGCAGAGACAGGACAGCTGCAAATTTTTGTGCGGATGCGTGTTTCTGGACCATGACTAAAACTCCGGGGACCTTTTCCCCAGCTGTCTGGAAGTTCTGTGGAAGTTGGTTTATTGGCAGTTAAGTCTGAGACAACCTGGATTTAGCAAAGACTCTCCTACACAGGAAGTAGATGACATTATGTTGGGGGAAGGGACTTCAGGCAAGGAGTGATTTACTCCTTTTTTGTTTTTTTAAACCGTGGCATTGCCAAATAAATAAGCACTTTCCAAGGAAGTAGGTGTAAGCTTTTTAGTCTTGGTGAGTGGAATTAGATAATATCTTTAACCGCATTTATAACTGTTTCGAGGTGACACATTTCAGAAGTTTGGAGAAGGAGGGGGGTGAATCAAATTCTTGAGGCTTTTCTTTTTGAAAGGGGTGTGTGATGTGGGCGTCTGAGTTTCTTCTGGGAGTGGATATTGGCAACCGTGTAAGTCAATCTTCAACTCTGACTTATAATTGAGCACATTTGTGAAGGAAATGGTTAATTTTACAACCAAAGGCAAACTCGCACCTCGACAGGTCTGCTGAAAGAAATGTGCCCTAGTCCTTTGCTGGCAAGCACCACCGGGTCATAAATCCACAGGCTTTATTTACAGCCCATAACACTTATGAATGTTAAGATATTTGACGCCACGTTGGCCTTATAATATTCAAGGTCTGCAGACACTGGCAGTAGCTCAAATTTCTCTCACTAATTATAAGCAATGAGATTGGGGGGGGCAGTGGGGACAGCCCATCGCCAAAGCTGCCCTCTCCCCCGCCTCTGACCCCCACCCCTACAATCTGAGCCAACTGAGACAGACACCCCCTCCTCCTTTGGCAGCTGACTTGTACTTTTCCTCCAGGCTATTGTTATACACATTTATAAAGAGCACTTTCAGGAATGGAAATTCAGTGGGGGCTCTGCACGAATGTTTTTCAAAAGCAAAGTTGCTCTAGGTGCTTGCATCTTTTTTCCTTTTCATCTGGTTTATCCCTTTTTCCTTTCTTTTTTGACTTTTTCTTTTTTGAGACCCTGTTGTCTATATTGTGCTTATTTCCCAGAATACTTAAAGTAACCTGATACGGGAGGCTGCCCTTCAATTTATATGATGTTTTACTGAGCTGGAAGGGAAAATGCATACATTGCATAGTGCGCTAGTTAACGTGAGGGTTAAGAGAAAAGTGACATGGAGTGAGGAGACTTGATTAAAAGAATTAATAGATGAGAAAAGAAATCCAAGTTTGCTTTGGGAGTGGGAAGGTCATTCATTTGGGAAATGTGCATTGGCGTCTTGGTGGAGGACACAGAAAAGTAACAGAGAAGGCGGAATAAATACTTGGCTAAGAAAGGTTAGAAAGGTAGAAAAAGACGCGACAGAGATTTGGGCTTGACAAAAATGGCTTGAGTGAAATTAGGAGTTAGAAGTTTCTTAGGAGAGGTGAATATCATGACGGGGGGGGGGGCGGTGGGCGGATGGTATTAACAACCATATTGATTTGCTCAGTAAAAACTGGTTCCAATCTACTTTTCACCCAAAGAGCTCTATGCAGCAGATAATAACTTCATGTGAGTTACTGTGCAAGAGTCTGGGGATGGGGCATCTGTGAAGACCCCCGATGTGAGAGAGATGGCCAGTTACCCTGCGGATTGTAATTTATTCTTAAAAAAGAAGTGGGCTGTCCAAGTGTGTATGTGACCACATGGCAAAGGGGGAGTGGGATTCCGAGATGTGTGGAAAACTGTGGCAAAGAGGGGCGGGGCTGATGGCTCTGTCATTTCTGGCTGGGTCCTTTGCTCCTTCCACCCCAAACTTAAAGACCGAGGCTGAACGGTTTTATTTTCTAATCAATGGAATGCAGAAACTTACTAGCCCTCTGGGACAGATATGAATCCCTTAGCAGCTCATTACAAAGATGGGACTGTGGGATCTTTGAACGGGTTATCAGCCCTGGTGTTCTTCGGTTTTCCTAGGATAGGCTGTTTTCTTCCTTAGGCATATCTGATTTGGGGCTGGTTATTTGGGTCTCTTATATTTTATTCTTTTTTTATTTTTTGGTCATGAAGTAGCCCCACACAACTCCTTCTACAGGGAAAAGAGATGGCTGTTAGTGGGCTCAGCTCTGAAGGAGTTAAAATTGCTTGCTAAAGTTTGGCATCATGAAAATAAATTTGAGGCCTGGTAGGCATTAGTAAGGCACAGCACATTTACAGAGCTTAATTAGTACGAACTGTAATTGTTCATGGTCTGCCAGAAGAAGTAATGTTCAGGAAAAGTGGAGTCCTTCTCCTGCAGTCTTTAGTTTGAAACCGATAAATCACTTGCATATTTGTG